ATATGAGATAAGTCAAAGGATTCAATTTCATAGATTGAAACTTAATCATCGAAGTCTTTATTTAAATCAATATTGAAAATAATAGAAAACAAAATTTTAATTGACATACTTGACATTAGATATTTGATTTTATACTTGTATTGAGAAAATGAATTACAGAAAAGCACAAAAACTAACGTGTTAGTTTCAAAATCTTCTACAAAAATAAATAGATAATATTAAATTTTATCTAAATTTCTTTGCATTATCTACATATTTTGTTTTTCAAATGATAAAAATTTGAATACTATATTATGTCACATCTTGCAAATAGTTAAGCTTGTTTTTCCACATTTGAATATCTTAACAAATATGTTCTCTTCATAAAACATCAGCAGAAACAAAACAATATTATAAGTACAGTTTATATTAATTAGAAAAAACATTAAATTCTGCATCAAATACTATTGTTTTTACGAACTATTGAGTACCATAATGGTACTCAATAGTTCGTAAAAACAATCATATCTATTACATGAAATGATGTAGAGTTTAATACTCTTTCTACCCAAGAAAACTGAACTTACAATATTTTTCGAAAAGTATACTTTATAGTCAAATACTGACCAATAAAAATATACTGAGATTATACACCGAAGATCCTATAAGACTTCGATGATAATTGTCTATGAGCAATGAGTTGCCTAAATTCCATTGCTTATGCACCTTTGTCGTTTCTTCTAATCATTTCACAAACAATAAATCAATACATTTTATAAGAAGTTGAAGACCAAATGCTTCAGTATATTCTTTGTGTTTTTGACGTGCTTAATCATCATACCATCGTTATTTCTTGTCGTTTCTATCGTCGATCCCTTAACTCAAGATGGATACATCTACATTGCCGACGTAGGTAGCCAAGAGTAGCATTCTTCACCTGTGCATTCATGCCGAACAATACAATGAGCATCACTGTTATAAAAACTGTTAATGAATTGATTCTCAATAAGTAAAGTGGTTCGGGTGGTGATATTCCTTCTGGTCCTATCACTTGCCAAAGTACTACGACCGAACACAGTGCTCCACCACAAAAGAGAATAGTCAATTGAATTAAAATATTTCGTACGAGTTTCATTTCACGTCTTACATTACATATATGACGATTTGTAATGGTTGATGCCACATTGACGACTCGTCGAGATGATTGACGAACATGATAAAGAATGATACCATAAATAAGTATGGCAACATTGACTGGAATAATATATCCAGTTACAAGGCAAAACATTGTTGCCGAGATTTGTCGACTATTGAGCGTGCAAAAACGTGATTCTTGTTCATAGATGAAACCATCTTTGAAGAAGAGCGGTTCACTCGAAAATAAATTACCAATAATCCAGCACAGTACAATCAAACACCAATGAGCTTTGTACGTAAGGAGATATCTATGGTTGTAGAAAACGGCAAAAAATAGACGACTAATAGCTTGAATAGAACATGAGTAGCATAGACAAACAGATGATGCCAGTAACACATACGCTCGAAAACTACACGCTGGTTGTGCAATTGCCCAATCATTACGAAAGCCGTATAAAGATGAGATGAAATTCGAAATAAAATAAACACCACAAAGTACACTTGAATTGCAAATCAGAAGATTATGGACTGAATGACATGGCCGACAAGTGATAACAGTAATAATAATTATAAGAGACAACATGAAACCGACTGTTGATGCTAGTATTGAAATCGAGAAATTGACGATGAAAAATAAGTTACTGAGCATGTCTACAAGAGAATCAGTTACTTTCATTTATATACTTTTTTTAAGCATAGTATGTGGGTGTATTTTTTCGTCATCCACATCCACAACCTATATAGTTCAGATCAATTGCTCTAAGTGTACATGTGTTATTAGCGAAGTTTTTCTTAAGGCTATTACTCAAAACAAGTCGAATTGCGACAAAATTAATGAAAATTATAATAGATACATGAGAAGGCAGCCAGACGCCTAGTTTTTTTTCACAAGTGGCATGATTTTTTATTCGGCGCCTACGTTTTTTGCGGAATTTTTTGATGATTTGTGTTACCTTCTGCTTAGAATTTTCTGTGAACTTTTATTCTATTTACTTCGTTCTTTTTTGCTTGAAAGAGCATGTCAAGATGAAAGGCATAACTAAGTTGCTTTTCCAATTTAACGTTGCTCTTATTAAATAAAAGAGCATTTTTGTAATTGAAACACCAATTTGCGCAACTCACATGATGCTTTTCGAAGAAAAATATAGTGAATAGAAAATTTACTTCGAATTTCTGTGACTCTCTTTTCCTATCATAGTTTCTTTTCCAGAGTTCTTTAGTAACGAAATAAGGTGTTGAACAACTAGAACTAAACTGTTCTAGAACATGTCAAAGCCTTCTTAAAGTTTATATTCAAAATGTAAAGGATAATAGATAAGGAAGAATTGATATGTCCACAGTCGTTGTAGGATCAAGTGACAAAGTTGGAAAATAATCAGTATCAATGCTTGTAAGCTTATTGAGGCATATAATAGTACTTTAAGATATGCTGTATTTGTAATATAGGTGTACAATAGGCTCATTTATCAGTTAAGTCAATATTAATAATAATAAGTGTTAAATTAAGAAAAAGATAATACGCAAAAGAAAAATAACGAGCTAAGGGCATCAAAGTAAATAAAAAATTTTGTCACGTTTTGCATGCTAGCACGCTGTTTCAAACAAAAAGGTATTAAATATATAGAATGCAGTCCTGCAGAGAATTATATATTGTCAAATGAGCTATTTTTGACTCTTACTTGATGAATACTTCTCTTCAACCGCATGGTATAGAACGAAAAGCTTTATCATAGCCTTCTCTTTAGAGTCGTAACATATTCTGAAAAGTTCAAGCGATATGACTGTATCTGACTCGAAATCGGTTTTGGAAAGAAAGAAGTAGCCTTAAGAAATATTCAGCAACGATCTCTTATTGATGTTGATGACTATGGCAATTGCTATTGATTGAACTCAATTTTTTAATGTTTCAAATGAAAAGCTAAGGAATGCGACTGATTCTTATCCTTTTTTCTTACATTTTTCAGATGTAATATTATGTTTCATTAGTTGACAAATAGAGGAAAATAGGCGAGGCTTATACCAACTCATTTTTTCAAGTTCTTCACAAGAGAAAAAGATAAACATTGTCTTTATTCGACGATTCTTTTCTTCTATGCAAAAAAAAGAATTGTGTTCTCTTTTTCCTGCATTCATCGAGGGGTCCAATATTTTACAGGCGTTGTTCATTCTATGAATATTAAAGAAACATCGCAATATGTTTTTAAAAAGAAACACATCACTGCGTGAAATGAAAAACGTAAGAGCAAAATGAGATTAACATATCTTGCTATGGTTAGCTGAGTTTCTTGAATCAAATGAAGCATAATGCGCATTGAAAGAACAAAAAAAGCAACTAATATATATGGCGGTTTGAATAGGTGTCATTCCACGATTTTACAAAACTCGTTACATGCACAATAATTTAAGCTTGTATGTCAGTCGGTGGCTTTCATTAAAAAATTAGAATTCGACAACTAATTTTTTATACATAGTTAGTTCTCCCATAGATCTCAAAAAGAACTTTCTCTCAAATTTGAAGTTTTCCAATCTAAACTAATATAGTTCATCACGCTGATGACGAATATCATATTTTTGTCGTTGCTTGATTGAAGAATGCGAATGTTATTATTCTTTAATTTCGAATCTTGACAGACATCAGTTTTTCTCTTGAAAACTATAACTATTTCTTATCGGATCTTCATAGATCCTAACTTTCTTTATTCTAGCAACCTATTTCGATTCCAAATGTTGTCTTCTACTCAAATTTGTAAAAATATGGGCTATGCTATTTTTATTTCGATCGATATTGATTGAATACCGGACCTAATTTATAATGCAAGCAAAAAAAATCAGCAGAAGTTTCTCTTCTAAAATTTCAAGGAAGACTGTCCTTATATGTTGAAATTTCTCAATATGTAATTATTTCTGGTCATTCCATAGAGCGTATTTTTCCTACGAAGTTTAATGAACCAGGGTTCCGAGAATTCTAAAAGCAAGAATTTGACAGGATTGTTATTAAATTGAATAGCCGCAATCAAATGGAAGAGTACAAGTTATCATTTTTCACGTAACACCGGTCCCTATATATATCCGATAAAAAAATATTGTTCACTGTTTCGATTTGGCTACACTACTTCATGTAATATTTTGTGCAGATTCTACAGATCGTCACTTTTTGAATATGAGTAAGACTATCGGTATATAAGTTACTGACAGAAGTTCATATCTAAACTCACACATACACTCAAGTTCAAACCTTGAAATACATCTATGTATTCTAGAAAATAAATACAGATTTCTTGAACTGCAAGTAAAAATAAAATTCATCAGAAGATTTTTAATTTTTTGAAAAATATACATCTTATGCTCACGAAGCTATAATAGTCGAAATGCATAAGAAGAACGATAAGTGGTTACTTCTGAATACTAACGGTTTTGGAAAATATGAAAGTATTAGCATGAGTCTCACAGTTATCGATGATATAGTTCATCAAACTGTTGTATCTTTTACCGTTATGTAAGCAGTCGGTATATTATCCATCGAAATTATTCATTCGTATTCAACGCACCATAGAATTACGACACGCTTCTTTTAACAGAGCAATCAGATTAAATTGCGAATTTTTATCAGCTATATTGTATTCAACAGTCTAGTTTTACATTCGAAATAAATTTACCATTAAATAAACCAGATATAGGTCTATATTTTCAAAAATAAAGTTAACTTGAAATGCAGTATTTCATGTAAAAACAATTTTCGAAAAACATGATATGCTCAATAACTAACCCTATTAGTGTTGATAATTCATGGTGTTGTCAATTTTTTTATGGCAGCTCTGCTCAGTTTTGAGCGCTCTATACGAAACTATTATAAAATTTCATCAAATCTCAAAAATAAGGTTCAGAATTAGTCAAATCTATGCTAACTATTCAGAAAAAAATCAAGATTCATAGCAAACGTCTAGATATCTAAGAGACTTTGGTCTTCTTCTTCCTATTTTACTTGAACTTTGGTTTGAATAACTTCGTAGAATAGTAAACTTAAAAAAGATTTGAATGAAAGATGCATGATAATGCTGAGTCTTTTTTTAGCAGTTGTTATAGTTTGTTTTTTTAATACCATCTATCAAAATTTCAATCTACTCAGAGAACAGAACAAAAAAAGTAATGACGAAAGAGGAAAGCAAAATAATGAGTCATCTAAGTCGAGAAGAACACGACTATGCAATTTTTGCCGTTCATAAAAGTATAAGAGGTTGAGTAATGTGAATGAAAGAGCATACTTACTTGCTACTGGAACTCCCTTGACCAAAAAGAAGGAAGTCCTTGGTCGAGGCTCTCTCATTGCACATGGATAGGGCTGACATCAGCGAGGGTCTCCTCGAGTAGATTATTTTTCACAGTGGACTGAGCGTTCGCGCTTGGTCCCTTCATCAAACATACGAGAATCTTCTTGATCTAGTTGGACTCATGCTAAACAAATTCTTTTATCGAAATAATACACATGGCTAAATAACTGATGAGCAGATCATTCTGAGTAGCTGTAAAAACCACGAACACTCATTGTCAATTTGATATTTAATTGTGAAATGTCGTGTATAAGTAAAAATTAAAGAAAACGTGTATGTGTGCGTTTACACTAAAAGAAGCAGTCTATATTGGGTGTCCGTATTATATTCATTTCGAACTCTATCTTTTCTGGTAGATTTGGCAATGTCCATGATTGTCTGTATTTTTCACAGATACGATTAGTATGCGAGATCGAATGTTCGGATAAACTCTCAATGACTTAATGCGAATTTCATCAATATGGTTAGTGTGTTCCGATTTGTACAGTCTGAAGGTTGAATGATCTAGTATTTGCATCAAATAATTCCTAATGAACCAATTAATGATCATTTTCTGACTTTAATCATTCAAGTTATATTGTTACAGACATTTTAAAAGGTGCATAGCCTAGACCAAACTCAAAATAGAGCACGAGACGATACAAAAATTCTATTTCATCGAAAAATGTGCACGAGACAAACGTATTGGAATAAATCAATGTTTTTTTCAGAGTGTAACATGAACTAAACATCGACCGACATCAATCGAAGACATTTTAGCCTATTGTACATGACAATTAATTTGTTGTTCATCTGCGTCACTCTGTTTAACTTTCACACCAGC